ACCAATTCAGAATCAAAACTGCATTCGCAAATAAGTGACACACCTATTAATTTTAAAGAGATATTCTCTTAGACAACAAGACCCAAGTCTAAGGCATGTGTGATCAACAGATGCATGGCTTGTAAAAGAGCAATCCTATAACCTATTGTAAGTATGCAGAAAGAGCATTGACTGAACTTAATAAAGGTACCGGAATTAGTTCAACATCATTAACAAAACTACTCTAAGAATGATACAGAATGCAATCCATAAAAAAGAATGAACAAACTTAAAACATCACACCAAGGCCAAGGGACTTTTTTTCTATGGTGTTTCAGGGTTGCTTTGGTTTTTTTCTTTCTTTGATCTTCTTTGGCTGCCACAGGTTGTATAAAGCATTTGTGTTCTGTAAGTTTTACATATTCATGGCATATGAAGCATTTGTCAAAGTAGCATTGGTGAGGTTCTTTTGACGCTGAGGGTTCAAACTCCTTACGACACATAGAGCATTGAACAATGCTGTCGCAGATCTTTTTCTCTTTGTGCATGTCATAACATGTCTGACTGTAAAACTTTCAGCAACAAGAATAACAGGGTACTTCGCATAAGGCCTAATCAGGTTTTGCGCCACATTCTACTTGCTTGCATGCATGACATCTTTGACCCTCACATGGATGATGTCTGAAGTCATTATGATCAAATCCCTTGTTGCACTGATCACAAAAACAGGATCGTTCTAGAAAACCAGCATAAGATGTGCAAGTGTCATAGTTACCAATCTCAGAGTCGTTGTACTTCTGGAGCAAGAGGTGGATAATATGGGGTGCTTTTGGGCTTACAAATACCATCACTTAGGGGTACGAAGTTGCCATCAGTTTCAATTGGTAGTTTGGTGCTAGGAAGTCTTGAAATTTTTTCAATTCTTTGTGCCCGCATGCCCCCATGCCCCCAAAGGTACCCCCACATCTTCATGGAGTTAATGAGCCATTCGTGATTGAACAGTCTCACATCTTTTTACATTCTCGTAATCGATTTTCTGTCGATATCCCTCATCTTTATGGATCCATGCTTTTGCGACACAAATGGCTCTTGCACAACACAATTTGTCTGAATTTGTAATTTGAACCATGGAATGTTTCTTTTTTAAAACTTCTGCCAAGGATCGCTTTCCCACTAGAGCTTTTTGTCTACCACTTTTACCACCTTTAGGCATTGGAATAAAGGTAAGGTCGGCGTTAAACTTAGAAGAGGATTTAACTGATTCTCCTAAATGCAATTTATTGGCCATGGTAGTCATGTAATTTTCAAAGCGTTCTGAATTCTTCATGATTTCCTCTACTTTGAATGTGGCTGATTGTTGGGCGTCGGCGAATCGATTGGATTGTAAGGTGAAATGGAACGCGCCATGAGATGAACCTTTCTTTTGCTGAATTTGTTTCCTTATCAACCTAAAAAATAACCCAAAATAAATTTTGATAAGAGTCTATCCCCTGAAACTTTTTTTCACTGAAAACACATTTTTTAAATTCTTACCTCGCTAAAGTATTTGTAATTTCTTTTCCGATATTATCGCCATGGGATGGAGTTCGTGTCTGCTTGAGGGTGGCCTCGTATCTTTGTTTATCCGCTGTCTTTTTCCAATTTTTTCGGAATCCAGCATTTTGAAATTCAAAGTTAGAGAGCATCACCTGATTGTTCCACACCCAAGTCTATATTGAGGGCATCCAATTGTTGTTGGTCCAATTGATCATACAATTCATTGAGTTGATCGTCAGATATTTCCCCACCATACTGTTGTTTTTCAAGTTCATCATAATGTTGATTTAATAGGTCATCTGAGATACTATCCTCTTCCTCCACATCATCATACTTTCTTTTTGCCATCATCGAATAAATCTACAACTAACAAGACATGACAGAAATATAAGTTTTACTTGTATTTTATTTACAAAACTTTCTACTGTCCTTTACATGACTCATGTTATTATAAATCTTCTGGGTTTTTTACATATTCCTTGACCAATTCAGTTGCAGTTTTAAGGTTTTCCTTTTTAACAAGTTTTAGGAGCTTGAAAAAAACGCGAGGCCGGTAAATTTTCTGTTGGGTTTGGGCTTCAAGAATTCTTTCATAATCAACCATGTCATCTTGGCACTCAGGACAGATATAAGCAATGGTAGGGTCCTAAAAAAGTAAAACATTTGTAACATATTAAAAAAGCTGCTTGCCTGCCGCGACAGTCTTGTTTTGACACTATCATACTCACCTCCAAAGTTTTGTTTTCTTGTCGTGCCATGAAATCTTCAGTGTGTCTTTTCAGGATACTTCTTGGTTTTATGATCTTCTCACTTTACTTCTGCAACTTTTAAGATAAGAGCGTGCGAGCTCTAGTGATTTGAGTGAAAAAGTTTATTGAGGCTGTTTTGTCTACGGAAGTGTTTCTTATTATTTGTTGGAACGTATTTAGAGTCAGAGAAAGACACACAAATGTAAGGTTTAACTGCTTTTTTTTGCATTGACTGATTCTCTTAGTTCACAAAACATTTTCTGTAGCTTGCATAATTGAGCCTACATGGAAGCAAATTACAAGTTCGTTGAACATGGTGTGTTTTTTTGAGGTCTAGGTTTAGGTCTAGGTCTGGCTTTGTTGACATGCAGCCTGGATTCTGGAAACCTGGGAACTGTGCTTGTCTGTCAAGCACAGGTTCTCTAGTAGGTGCCGCTGGTCTTTAATGACCTGGTTGTTTGCTGCTAATTTTTTTCCTGTTTGATCATGATGGTAAGCAGCTCCTATGGGCTCTGTGACTGATCTGGTCTAAGGCCGTCTGGAATACTGCATGTTTTCTTAGGACTTGGAGTGACAGTTTACATTTGGCCCATCTGGTTTCCAGTGTAGTATGGCAATTCTGGATGGATTTGCCACCCTTGTCAGCTTTGTGTTTTTTAGGAGCTGGTTCTGTGGCTGGAGTCTCTGTAGTTGGACCGTCATCATTATGTGGTCTTTTAGATGACTTGATCAGTGATAATGTGGGCACTTGGCTGGAGTTCTAAAGAGAACTGTTTGTCAAGCTTTTAAATGCAATACTGGTTTTGGAACCAAACGATTGAATCCTTCATCAGTTGTGAGTAGCTTTTTTACAAGAGCTAGTGCTGTGGCTTAAAACTGAAGTCTCTTTATATAGCATACTTGTGCCAGTGTAGGAACCAAATATAATGGAAAAAGCACCAAATGTAATGGTGTGTAAACCGAACATATTGGAAAAGCACCAGATATAACGGTGTTTGAACAAAATGTAATGAGCTGTGCACCCTATATCATGAAAATAGCATTGAGTATAAAGACAGAGGCAAAGAATATAATAAAATAAAACCAATGTAAGAGAAAAAAGTACTATGAGACGGTTCTGAAGTTCCATAGATGTGGTTATGTTTTTCAACAAACAAACAGCACAACTCCCAGTTTAAAACAGGACAAAAAAACTTTTAAGTACTCTACAATGCAATTCCTTTCCTTCTTACCTCACTAACCAAAAACTAGCAAGGTTTTAAAGCAAAATGAATTTGACGTTTTGACACTGCCAAAAATTGTCTTTCCTCACAGAAATTCTAACAAGCTTGACTTCCTGAAAAGAACAGTACTGTTGATGACTATTCATTTGTTTTATTAATTTATTCTCAAGTAGCTTTGACTTTTATTAACCTTTAGTTTCAGTATAAACGTTTATGTTTCAAATAATCTGATTTCCTATTATTTTGCCAGTCGAAGATTAACTCAGTCCACGGTTTTAAACAGCTCCTTTATTGAATCATGCTTGGAGTAGTTGCGTTCAAAATCCAGAGGTGTCTCACAGTTCTTCTGACTAGCAAGTCGTAATGCAGTGAATTCCGTTTATGACGTCATCACGTTATGTTACGTCACGTTAGTATTAATTAATTGAAAATTGTGGCCTTAATTAGCTAGCGCAGTAGATAACATATTAAGCAATACACCTATCATCTGTCACCGATTATCACAAATTAACAATTCAGACTTCACTTACTTGCAGTTACAAAAATATCGTTATTATTTTCCTATATAATCAATGAATTTTTTAATTTTTACTGACATTAAGAAGCTGACAATAATATTGAAGCTTTTTGTGTAAACGTTCAGTCATTTCTACTTTGCTTTTAAAAAAAATAATTAAGTCATAAAAAAAGTAAAGAAATTCAAGATCATTTGGATGTTGTCAAAACTCATCTTCACTTCCAAAGTCACTTTCAATTGCAGAGTCATAATCTAAATCAGGCTCCGGAAGTCCAATTGCAGTGTTAACAGTTGCCACTTCTTCTTCTGTAGCTGCAGCTTCAATTTCGTGAAGGCTTTCTTCAGGTTCTTCGAGAATGGCAACTTCAGCTCCTTTCAAATCGTCACTTTCTTCTATCTCTTCAAGTGTATTTAGGGTTTCTCGCTCAGGTACTTGAACCTGGGATGACTCTAAATTGACTTCAGGCTAGGATGAAGCAGCTGCTCTTTTTAACTTTCTTCTTGGCTTTTGCTTCAGCCAGTGATCTACGGCAGCCTTCACAACATCACCACATTTGCCGCTCTCTGGAGCATTGATGGAGACATGCATGAGGGCATTCAACATCTGATTACTAAGACGGTTGCGGAATTTTGTTTTGGTAATGTTAATCACACTTCCTCCTATTTCATGTCAGGCATTGCTGCATGGTAATGAAAGCCCAACTTCAGCCACGAACAAGATCTCTTGGAACATGGAGGGGTGAAAAAAACCTTTGTTCTTTAACAGAAATGACAAGAAGAAGGTGGTGCTTTGGGTTCCAGATGGTGCTTGAAAGGGTTTTCCAGATAGAAAAAACTTGACCTGTGACCACTGGCAAAGCAACTTCCTCTTCTTGTCTTCATCCCCTGGAAAGAAATGGTTGGCAAGAATTGTAACTTCACCCTCCCCATATTCCCGGAAGCTGTCATCGTCACTGTTTGGCAGCAAAAGGGGATCAAAGATGGCAAAGACTTCGATCACATCAGGAAAACTTCCAAGGCGATCTTTGATGTTAAAGTTTTCAAGGCATCGACATATTTGCCCAAGAGGGTTTCCAGTTGCTTGCCAGTATCGTTGCGGAGCTTCAGATCATCGGACATGTTCGTGAAGGAGTCAATGTCTGCCTGTAGTTTGTCTAAAGGTTGGTTGGTTGTCTTTAAATTTGTCAAAGTTGAGATGGCCCGATTAACAGCTGGCCTTATCATTGAAAAATGGAAATTGCCAGCTTGAAACTGCCTTGAAAGACATGAAAGAACAGGCAGAATGGCATTAAGAATATAAAGGGCACCAAGAAATTTTACTGACTTGAGTTTGCTTATTAAGCCGATGGCTGTAGCATCATTTAAAGACAAGAGAATAGCTTCATAGCTCTGCAAGGCTGCAGTGACAGAGGCATCAAAACTGAGCCATCTTGTCTGGCATGCTTTCTTAAGCCTTTTCGCTTGGAGCTTCTTTGTTTTGCCAGCATGACTGAGACTGATTTTCTTCAGCTGAATTTGGCACTTAAGAAAACATGCGGTTTTTTTAGGGGAATTGTGAAAATAGTACCATAGTTGCCGTAGAACATCTTCCACTTCTTTGATAAACTTCAGTTCCTCACAGCTGTCTGTGCAAGCCAGTGCAAGGCGGTGGCAGACACAATGCAAGTTTAGAAGCTTATCATTACTTTGCCTTATCTTTGCTGCAACCCCATTGGTCTTTCCAACCATCACATTTGCCCCATCTGTGGACAGGCCCATCAGTTTGCAGATATCCAATCCAGAGGCAGACAATTCCTTCTTTACCAGCTCTGTAATGGCTTCTGAGTTGCAACTAGCAAAGTACTCCAAAATATTCTGAGAAGAGAGAAACACTGTTGCGACAGAGTAGCTTTCTTCATCCCAAAACTGCAAGAAAGAGATCAGCTGTGATGCCACTGATATGTCGGTAACCTCATCTATCAGTATGCCAAAGCTTTTTGCTTTCCTGGCCTTTTCCAAAAGGTTTCCCTTCACAGTTTCACCAAGAGCTAAATAGATTTCTCTGACAGAACCCTGTGAACGGTGGGAGAAGTGCTTTAGCTGGGACAGTCCTAAAACATT